GTTTTGGTATACATATACAAAAATATCAATTGTATAAAGTGAGAGAGGCGAGTGAGAGAGCGAAATCTGGAGAGTGTCGAGCGAGATCTGGGAGAGGGGAGAGAGGGGAACGAAAATATATGTATATATACAATTTTCTCTCGCTTTATACAAACACAAACGCATTTTATATAATTTGCGTTTTTGTATAAATTTTTTGTATAAAGTGAGAGAGCGAGATTTGGGAGAGGGAAGAGAGGGGAACAAAAATTATATGTATATATACAATTTTCTCTCGCTTTATACAAACACAAACACACTTTATACACTTGCGTTTGATAAAAAAATGAGAGAGGTGAGGGAGAGAACGAGAGTGGCGAGCGAGATTCACCAGGAGAGAGGTGAAATAGCAACAATTTGCTATGAGGTACAATTAAATCAAACTATATTTATAGCATTTAATTTGAATTAATAGTTTGCTATTATATACAATTTTCCCTTTATATTTCAACCCATTCTAAAATGAGTAAATTTTAGGTTTAGCAAACATAAAAATCATATTTGTATGTTATAGCTATAGTTTGCATAATTGCGCTCCATAGCAAATGTTATGTCTGCTATGTAGCTATTAATTTGTATATTTCAATATTCATTCCAATTGTATAAGTATATATTTGGAATATGTATACAAATAAGAAACTGACTTGATCATAAGGTGTATAAGTATATATTTTTTTGTTGTGATTTTCAATCATATATGTATATGTATATGTAACTGTATTTTTGTATACAGATAGATTTGTATACAAATATCTCTCTCTCGTTTTATACAAACACAAATTATACAAAATCCAATGTATAATTTGTGTTTGTATAAAACGAGAAAGACAAAGAGAACTGGGTAAGGGAGGATTTGTATTGTATAATTATAAGTGTATAGGACGAAGATATATGTATTTGTATATACAATTTTCTCACTTTATACAAACACAAACACAATGTATACATTTGTGTTTGTATAAAATGAGAGAGGCGAGAGAGAGTGGCGAGCGAGATTTCTAGGAAGAGAGGCGAACGACAAAGTGTTTGCTACGAATTAGAATTAAATGAAATTGTGATTATAACATTTATTTTGAATTAATAGTTTGTTATTTCATACAATTTTCCTTTCTAAAATTTCTAATTTCAACTCAACCCGCTCGTTTGTCACCGCAGTAGCATTCGATTAATTTGTCCTCTTTTTAAGCTTGGCATCATAGTAATGAATGGTATTAGATGGTGACATACTTGTCCTTTCTGGCTGCTGTTTTTTTCAGTATCCCCAAACAATACGTGTTATCGATGAGAGTCTCTTACACAATACGTGTAAGTTCAATCCTCATTACAAATATTTATGAAAAATAAAGAAAGGATTGCCAACCCATATACTTGATCTAATGTAAGCTATGAAGTACATGTTAGATGATAGAGCTGCGCGAATCACTTTAACAGAGACAAGTTGATTTCTTTATCTTTTGAAAAAAAAAATTGTGATGTTGTCATATATTTGGTTCATTCGTTGTCTGTATTGGCAAGGGTTGAACAGAAAAGTGATAATTTGGACTATTGTGAGATTGAAGGATTACATAATAATGGTGTGTTTCGTACGGAGGAAAATATTTTTCAATTTATGTTAAAAATTATATAGAATATTTTCTCTAGAAAAATAAAATTCTTGAAACTGAGGAAATAACTCCTCTAGTGAAAGTAGAAAATAATAAGTTCCAGTAATAACATATTAGTATGTCAAATATCTCCTCACCACCCTTTAATACATCCCATCTCCACTATTAAAAAATCACTATTTTCTCACTGTAAGAATAGATACTTGATTAAATCGATGGAAAAAGAAAAACAAAATAATATTTTCATATGGAAAAGTTAAAAAGTTTTCCACAATGCATTTTTCGGGTGAATTGGTTTAATAGAAAATGAAATTATGATCTAATTTCCCATCGATTCGCAGTGCATTTTTTTTTTGTTTTTAGCAGTTCTCATACTCCTACCTCTCTCACATGATATTTGCCTAGATTATAAAAAATATTTTTAAAACAATATTTTCTTCTTACTTACAAACACCAAAAAAAAAAGTTAAAAAACCACTTATTTTTCTATAAAATATTTCCTTCACGCCCCACACAACCTAAGACAATTTATTTAGTCATTCTACAGTTTTTAGAATGTTAACACCAATTGAGAGTGCACACAGCACATGTCATGTTCTAATATAATTCATTAACTCCAACAACTTATGCTATCATGCATCAAAAACTATGTGTGAGACAGTGTGCTTCGTCTCATTGCATTATTCTACTTGAATTTTGTCATCACTTCCCTTTGTTTTCTCAATAGAATATACTAATATATATTATAATAGATATTCCTACCTCTCTCACATAATACAAGAAAAAAGAAAATTCTGTATACTGTTTAATTTGATTATAAATTTACTATGCAGATATATAATGGCTTCATCAATTTGATATTCATCACTTCCCTTTATTTTCTCCATTGAAGATAAACATATTATAATCAGGCATGGATGCAGGTATAGTTATCGAGTTCATATGAACTCATTATTTTTAAGGCAAAGCAAAAATTTATCAATTTGAGTATCTACTCATAACTTAAAAATATATTGAGTTTAATGCAAAAAAAAAGCTTATAAATCAATCCTGGCATGGAAGAAGAAGATATTTCATCTTGACTTGTTAAATACGACTCTATTATCAAGCTCTGAGATGCAAGGAATTCACAATCTTTTGCTATAGTTCTTACTCATTATATATTATTTCGATCATCATTTTTGTTCTTTACGTAGTCTATAGATTTTCATTTATTCTTGTTTTCCCAACCTAGCCAACAAAAAAAAAAGAGTTGGGAGTCCAAAATAGAACCCATAAAAATAAATTCTGAATACTAAAATTTGGTCTGCCCAAAATTTCTGACTATAAAATAGCAGTGAATTGGAGTCCAACTCCCGCTTAATCGGCAATAAAGAAAATGGCAACCTTACTGGAGCGTGGGTCACACACAACCTTACTCATTCATTCAAGGCGCGTGAGCGCACCCAACTAAATGAATCTAAACACACAGTGTGTGTAGTATTCAACCTATTTTATTTTCTATTATTTCCCCCCCCCCCCCCCCCCCCCCCCCCCCCCCCCCCCCACCCCCC